TTTGCAATCTTACGGTCTGACAATATTTACCAAGTCTTTCTTGATAGTCATTTCGTTTTGAGCATTTTCTGTTGCCGTGGCCATATCTAGCACGAACTGGAACGTCAGGGGCTTTTTGTTCACATCCAATGCTAAAGGATATTTAGTCCTAAGTTTAACTTCGAGACCTGGTAGATCTATACCCGCAACTAATTGATCTCTTAACCGGCCGTCAACTTCTGACAAACAACACGCTTTCGCAGTTATTTTGATTCTATTAGCGAACTCTCCAATTGGTTCATTCTCATTCCTAATTAACCTTATGAAGTCTAATCTACTACCGAAAATGTTTTTATTCTTCTCAAAAATATGTAGCGAGACACTAATTATCTTATCAAATTTAGTTGTTAGAATGGTTTCAGGAAATAAATATTGTTCGAGAATGTAAATACCCTCAGCGCCAAAACTCACCATGAACAGGTCCTTATTTTCTTGATCGGTCGGTGTCCAGTTCTTTAGTCATAACGTTGCGTCCCAAAATTGGAACCAACGTTGTATAGACCCATTAATTTGATATTTTTCTAACTTATCAATAATACTAGTATTTTTGAACTGAGGCATAATTTATCAAATTAATAACTATTTTCTTACTTGTTTTAATTAGAATATTAGAATCCACGTCGTCGCCACTTTAACGAAAGTAGAACCATTATTTATATTTATTTATTTCTATAACTCATTTAATAGGTATCAGTTTTCATTGCCATTTTATTCAGTATAATTAAACACAAGGTGCAACTTAATTACAAATGGCGATATATAATTACACGTTAAGAGATTGGTGTGTACATAATACATTAGGAAGTTAAACAACACCTATTATATTAATCGTAAATATATATATATATAAAATCATATCTAACTGTCAAATATAATATATAATATGATAAATTATTACAATAGATTACTTCCTTACTACAAATGTATTATAATAATTCTATAATAAAATATAAATTTTTACAGCAATAAATTTTGTCCTATTTCATCTCAAAATTTCCAAAAAATTTATCCTACCCCCATTAAAGCAGCCTATCCCCTATCCCTCTCAAAAAAATAGGATGCAAACTGTTCCTACCCCTCCCGCTCATGTAGACGCTGATTACCATAGATCCATAATCATAATACATAAACCAAATTACGATATAAATGTCACTATATCATTAGTTTCCATGTTTTACAATATTATTTCCCATTTTTATTAACTCCTTGATTTTCCAAAATTAATTTCATATAATTACTATTTCAACACATTGTTTATGCCAGATGGCTCTTCATATTTGATAAATATTTTTCATAATCAATAAAATTCCAAATCATAACTCAAACCAATAGTTATTTAATTCATTTGTACCAAATTAACTGTTTCTTATTATATTCCTTTTGCCAATTCATTCCATCACCCAATTTTATTGTCCGCAATTATAATAATTCATACAATATCAGAACCATTACATAATCATAATTCATTCATTACAATATTCCATTATTTATACATTGTCTAAATTCTGATTTATAATTATATCTTTATCCTAAATTTAATATCATGTAATATCCAATTCATCAAACTAATATATTTCATTTGGTCAGGTTAAACCCATAACTTCGCCAATCTGTAGTAATTTGGGCTTCATGCAGTGACCCCTACACTTTTTGAAGGATAGAAGCAGAATACCCCCCTAAAGTACCCCCCCCCCCCCATTGTAAATTATTGACACCAATAAATTCCAAAAATAATTTTTATTGCATCAATATTTATTATAATATAAATATAATGTAAAAAATATATGCATAATATTTATCTTTGACATGATAATTTATAAATTTATTTATTTAAATATTATATTACTTGTTTTTCTTGAACTTTTTCTTTAGCTGAAAAAGAGTGAGTAGACATTGACATTGAAGTATCTTTTAAAATAATATCTTTTGCCTATTAATTTTAAAACAAATATAATCTAATAATAAATATTTTTTTTAAATGTTGTACTTGAAAATAATTCTTTATGGTATTACTTTTGTGTTTTAATAAAAATTTTGGTTGTGGTTCTTCGCCTTGTTCTTGTTCCATAATAGCCATACTCAGATTAATCTTAATGGGTGTAAGTTCTTTTTCTTCCTGTTGTATTCATTAAAATTTAAAGATAAATTAATATTTATTACCAGTAGAGAGATAATAGGTATTACTTGTTCTTCATCATTGTCAAATCTCTGCTCTATGTCTGCCTATAAAAAATATTAGAGTAGATAAAAAATAAGAATAATAAAATAACTTCTGGTCACCAATTTTATGATCATTATCAGAGTCAGATATAATATTTTCTTCTAACATATTTTCATTATTAGTACACTTTTAAAAAAATAATCATATTAATAAAAATATTTATTATACCAACAGCATTGATTTGCCAATTTTTACTTCTTTTTCCTGTGTTTTAATACCCTTTACAAATAAGTATAAACAATTAAATATTTAATAAAAAAAATTACTTTGCTATTTGTCCAATTTTGAGAAATATTCTTAAAAGCCACTATTTCAAAGTTTTCTTTATATCGTGAAAATTAAGCCTACCATGTCTTTTTCTAATATGATCTGTCCATTTATCATCTCTTATTTTATGATATGTACAATTTTTAATCAAGCATTTATATTTTTTTTGGTTAATATTTTGACAATGATCTAAAAATTATAAATGATTATATATAAGATTTAAATTTTTACTATTCCCTTTGATAAAATTTTAATTTTGAGCCAAATCTTGAAAGTGGAAAAATAATTTTATGATAAGAAATATCGGATAACAAACTAATTTGCTAAACATCGACCATAAAAATTTTTAAAAAAATAAATAAAAAATTTTTTAAAAAAAAATAAAAAATTTTAAAATAAAAAATTTAAAAAAAAGAAAAAAAAAGTACCCCCATAGAAATTTATAGAAACAGTTGCTTCGGACCCCCCCCCCCCCCCTCGTTGTAGGGGTCACTGGCTTCATGTAATTCTTTATTGCAATCAAATAAACCATTCAAATTATATTAATCATAATTAATCCGATAATAACATCATAATAATACAATCATAATTAATCCGATAACAACATCATAATAAATGAATCATAACATTCAATATAAACTCATCCTCTCTTGCAACCATTTTCGAATTTTCCTCCATCTCCAAATCGTTGATGTGGATTCATTAATCTTGTCTGTCTATTCCCGTGTTTGGTATCTAATCATTACTATATCTATAATGTTTTTGAGCTATATGAGTTTATGTGAAAGTTGATTTTCTGCCCAGTTCAGACATGTTATGTTTTAACTGGCCATAAGATACTATTTAAGAATTATATTATAAATTAATAATTGCAAAATGAAACAAAGTGACAAATAAAAATTCAGGTTTAATGATAGTAAGTCATTTATTAAGTAAGAGCGATGTCAATATTTTGGAATAAAAAGGTATAAATTCCTCATTTTATGGTTTAGCAGCGTTAGCATAATTATTTTAGTATGAAACCTATTTTTTTCTAATTTCCATATTCTTCTTCGTTTATTGGCCCTTTTTCAGGTTTAACCGGGTAAATAATTTTCCCTTCTACCTTTCTCGATTTAAGTGGGTCCTGGGTATCACCCCCTGTCAAACCTAACATTTTCATCTCTTTATCAAGCACTTTCAACCAGCATGTCTTTAGTCGTCCTCTAGGTCTTGTTCCCTTCACTTCCAACTAACGATATTTATTTACCAATTCCAACTAACGGTATATTCAACCTATCACCTTTTACATTCAATTTAATATGTCCAAACCATCTCGGCTTATTTATTCTCAAAACATCACCTATTGCTTCTATCCTAATCTTTTCTCGCAATTCTTGGCTCATTTTTCTTTCTCGTCTCTGCATATCTATCTAATCATTCTCATCTATCTTTCTAACTTGGTTTCTGAGTCGCTCTATTGACCATGTGTCGCTGCCGTAAATCATTCAACTTCTCACATAACTTTTCTCTTCAAAGCTAGACATTTTTATAGATTAAATTTTAAGACATCTCTCTAAATTAAGCACATTCTATCCTCCCCACAACTATCAGAACACCTCCATCTATATAAGAATAACGCTTAGATTATAGAACTTTTCCAGACTTCCTTTACAATATGAAAAACCAGTTATATTACAATGATCTTTTACACCTTTCACACACTCTCTACCATCGCGCTCTACTTATGCAGACTTCCCCTTACACCTATTGTGAATCTACGACAGCAGGTACAATTGGAGTTTCTAGCAACACCTTCCCCACATATACCACATGCCGGTCTACTCGATTTTTTAAACCTTCACCTCCAAAAATCATCTTCGTCTTTTCTATGTTCATTTGAATCCCTTCTCCATCTATTTTATCCTTCAATTCTTTCTTACTCTTTGCTATCACTACTAAATCGTCTATATACATAATTTCCTATGGTAGTCCTTTACGAGTCCCTCTAGCCACTACATCTATTATTATAATAAAAAATAATTGACTCAATACGAAACTCTGATGTAAATTTATATTAAACTATATAATTCTAAAATTAAAATATAATTTGCCTATTTAATATTATTTTTAAAATTGGGTAAGACAGATTTGTGTCGGAACATGCTTTGACGACTTTCCCAATTCTCTATCTTATACAGAGGGTAATGTACCGAGGTGTAGCCACTTCAGTTTCAGCACAAGCTTGGGGAAAAAAATAAAGTTCTTTATTTACTAAAAAGAATTTGATAGTAGATGTAGATCCCCTAGGTTAAATGAGATTAAACTAAGAACTATGTTTTCGCGATCTGAAAAAGGGTTATTTATAATGTATCCTTAATAAAATTCTTGCAATTAGATTTTTATACAAAAATTATGATTTCATGATTTATTGAGACATTAATAAATAAAGCGTAGTTTACAATGTAAATAATTTAAAATGTGATAATAAATTTTTAAAATATATATTGAATTAATAAGTAAGCTAAGTGTTTCTAAATTACAGGGTATAAAAATGATCTTTTCTTTAAACAGGCATAGAGTTTAGTTAAATAAAAATGCTATTTATAAAATCAAATAAAAAGCTATAAATAATTGGCAAACATAATCTATTAAAATTATAAAATAAATTAGATTTTTATATTTCTGAATCTTAAGGCTTAATATCTTTGATTTCTTCTATAACCAAATCTTGATTAATCATCCGATCTTTGAAATTGGTTTCTTCCATAAGCCCAGAAAATTGTTCCTTTGACAAATTAAAAAATATTTTAAGATTATATAAATAAAATACTTGATAAATTATTTTAAAAATAAAACGGAAATAGGGAAACCAAACGAAAACCGTTAATTAACTTGAAGATTTTGAAACTATATAATACTTTTTGGGCATATTTTACATTTGGTTAGTATTGAATTAGTTCCTTCAATATAGGAATTTTACTGTAAAATATTTATCATGTATTTTTTTGAAAAGATTCTTAGTTCGGGCCTGTCTAATAATTTTGTATAATTTGTCCCCGCTTTGAACATATTATATTAAAATTATTTTCCTTCTCTCTACTCCGTAAATTTTTCTATAGATTTTAAATATGTGCCCTGATAGCTACCCACAAAAGTTTGGAACAAAAATTTTGGGGATATTTAAACCATAATAAAAATTACCTTAAGTTCTGGATCAAGTTCTTCAAATGTCTTGGGGTTTCCCCTACCATCATCATACAAAACCTCATCAATGGTTTGAGTCTCCTCTTGTCCATCCCTAACTACGGTATGTGTCTTTGATCTTTTGATTATTTTAAGACTGCGAAAATAATCATATGAATATTATTTATAATAGGATAAAATAAATTAAAGTCATTACTTCTTTGAAATTGATTCCCCCTCACGCTCATGGAGTGATGTTGGTGATTGATCATTCGATTCTAAAAATAATAATTTAATACATGGTTAAAAAAAATACTTTTATTATAAAAAAAGATTAATAGTGAATATAGGTAGGAAAAAAGAAAATAGTCTAATAGATTAAAAAAGTCATGGGATGGATTTCTTTAATAATTTTACTAATAGCTTTTTCTGGGGTAGGCGAATGATCAATTATATCAAGCGAAACATCTATTTCTTGAGGACATTTAAAGACACAATTATTATAACTTTTATCGGGATTAAAAATTTCGGTGAGCGGAGGGGAAACGGATAAAAAATGTTGATCAGATAGAAGAAGCGGTGAAGCAGAGATATCTCCGTTATCAAAAACGATGTCACTTTCCAAGATTGTTTGAGATTTGGTACTAGTGACGTTGTTAGAGTGACCCGAGAAGCGACGAACTTGGCCAGTTATGATATCGATATCATTAACATTGTTATTACCGGGTAAGTGTTTATCGCGATCGGGTAAATCGTGGCCTGTGTATATACGGTTGATTTGTTTATAAGGTTCGTTTGCAAATATACTAAGATAAGGTGATTCAAAGGCATTACCCATCGTGGTGTGAAAAGAGGATTGAGAAGAAATGGTGGTTGTGGATGCCGTAGAAGATCTGTAATAAGGAGTTGAACTCGATACATCTACGGTCGAAAGAGGTAAAGCTTTGTAAGGTTTCTTATTTACCGGATGGATTTGGCGCGAAGAGGCAGATGTCTTAGAAATTGCATTGGGGTATGAAACCGAGTTTACACATTCTTCAATGGACAATTTAGCAGTTTTTAATTTATGTTTTGCCTCGATATTTGAGTTATAAAGCTTTCTTTTAGGAGATAAATTTTTGGTTTTGGGTTTTTTAAATCTCAAAGTTTCGGTCAGTATAGCATTATATTGACAATTTTCAGAAGATGTGGAAGTAACATTCGACTTTGATTTATCATTTTCCAGACCCTTAGGATTTTTTGCCAGATTCTTTTTTGAGGGAATATAAGATGTGGGTAAAATATTTTTTGGTGCTGCTTTAATGACATTATTAGGGACAGGAAGCGTCCTCTTTGATTGATAGATTTTACTTCGAGATTTTACTTTGTTTGCTTTGGGTGAAGAAACATTTATAAGGCATCTTTTCAATGCATCCGCAGATATATCAATTTCGGTTTTATTATTTTCATTTAAACGCAGTGTTGAATCATTTATGGGAGTATCAATATCACTAGCAAAACTTTCAACGTTTTTAGAAACTATTTTAATTATATCATCTAGTGACATATCAGTTGGTATCGAGCTATCAACATAATGTTCACCATGAATTGATTGTTCATTTTGTATATCTGTGGTGGTATAATCGACGCCTGTGCGATTAGCACGGTTATCTTTTCCCGAAATATTGGTCAACAATTTCAAATCACGTCCTAAAGATTTATCATTATTTTCAGTTTCAAATTTTCCCTGAGATAAAAAGTAATTTTCTAATGCTTCAAAAGTTCTTAAAGATTGATACTCGTCAAAAGCATATACAGTTATATCTCTGTGTTCATTAAATTTATTTTCATAATAATTTTTTTTAAATCTATGACATTCTTGATTTGACAGAGAATGGTGTATATGCGACGAATTTGTTGGAGTTAACAAATTGCGTATAACAGTTTCAATATTATTCGAGCTAAAATCAGGTGAGAGCCCAGACAGACATGTAATTAAGTTTCTTTCTGATTGTGATGAAGGTAGTGGAGACCGTGGTCTTCTTACATATTCATCATCGGAGGACATGGTTAAACTAATATTTTGATTATTGTCACTAATATCCTCATCCCAAGAAGACATTATATCCAGTGAGGATACTTCAGCTATATCATGATAGGAACTGGCAGATGATGGTTCTTGATCAACTACAATATATTTGGATTTTAAATCTTTATCATCGCTGCTTAGAGTCATGCTATCTACTATATTTAATTTGTCATTCTGTGGCAAAAATTTTGGCCATTTTGAGCCAATATATTTGTCGGAGACTTTATTAACACTAGCATAAATGTGTTTAATGTTATCATCATCTTTAATGGAAGGTATGGAATAAAGGCTTGTACTTTTATCGCTTTCAACTAATTTTAATTTATTTGATGTTGTTGAAAAAACACAATTTTCAGAATTAGTAAGGCATGTAAAATAAGATGAAGATTCTTTTAGCGGGTGAGACATTATAGTTCCTTCAGAGTCTTCTTTAGCCGTCAAAAAATTATTGGTCATATAAGATTCAGCACTTTCAAAATCAGGGGAAGAGGTGCACATGGTATTGATGTCAAAAGTCTTACATTTATCTTTTCCCACCGGCTTCGATCCTTCATCAGTTATTTCTTTGAAGTTAATTAAAATCATTAAGTGCATCAAGACGAGAGATTAATACTTTTCATGACAATTTTTCCATTTTGAAACACGAACAAAATTTATAAAACAAACTTCCGACCATCAAAATATCTAAGCAGGCGCAGGCTGAAGTATGATTGATCTTTTTCGCAAGCATTTTATTAGCATGAATTACATTACACACTTGTTTTATGAATTTCAAAGATATTTCCTTTTATTGTAATATATTCTTAAAGTTAATGGATGGAAAAAAGAAAGCCAAGTATTGATTTAAAATAAAGGGATCAAAAAAATAGGTTAAAATAGAAATAAATAATATAAAGGGAAGGAATCATGTAAAAACATGATAAATATTAAATCGATCTAAAAAAAATTTAAAAAAAAAGATAAAAACTTAAGCATAGTGCCCACAATTTAAATGACATAACATACATGCTAAAACATCTATATATATACCATAAAAACTGTAATTTATTTACTTATAAAACTAAAATTATCTATGGAAAGCTAATGATCAAAAAAAATATACATTAAACAAAACATCAACTTCTACCAAATTTTATTATATGCTAAGCATCTAGCATATAAAATCATGCGTAGAGTTAACGAAGCGATATTTATGATAAACATAAATCAGGGTACTAATTTAGAATTTTTATTTATAATAACGAATACGACTTTGGTAATGCTTGCCGACGACATAAATAGCTAATTAATGATAAATGGTATGAAGTTTTAGAAAAAGACACCTTGATGTGTTTTTTGCGTTTGTTGGCGAACATTGATGGCTTCAGGTTCCGTTTCCAAATTCAAGGAATAATGACTCAAAGATGTATCCAAAGGAGATAATTCTAGCATGTTTAAAGCTTTCCTCATAGCGACTGAACTGATTGAACGCGAAAAAGTATCAATTTCACCAGAGGATGTCGATTGTAACGATTCTTGACGTTCTGCAGCTCTGAGGCGCATAGGTGGTATCATTTCGAGGTTAGGTAGCGATAACTCTAACGGTTTCATAATTTCTTTGCGAATTTCCGACATTTTACCAAAAATGAATTTCTCAATTGGTGGTTTTTCGGTATAAAAATTACCCTTTAATGTTGTCAAGGAACAAGTTTCACTGGTAATCAACTTAACATCGTTTAAAGAACTTACAAAAGAGGAATTTACCCGATCGTCACAGGCTAGAGGATCATGATCAATCTTGGATAATGTCTTATCAGTTGAAATGGTATATTGAGAATTTATAGATACTTTTTCCCAGTCATCCTCATCATCTTTTTCGGATAAGTTGCTTATTTTATTAAAACTTTGGTCAGCGAATGAACCAGGGGTTATAAAAGAATTATCAACAAATGACTTAGCCATTGTTACAATTAATATTTTCGATCGTTCATTTATATGGCTAAGCTTTGTTCCAGCATCAAAAGTATTCTCATTATGAATATTAATAATAGCATTATTTAGAGCATTTTGAGTGAGATTACTAGACGTTTCATATAACATCAAATTAGAATCCGGTGATCGCATTAGCAAGGGATCTTCAGAAGGATGCTTGAAGAATTCAGAACCAAAAATAAGGGTTTGAGGTGGAAGAGCATTTAAAGGTGATGATGGCAAATTTGAATATAATAATACTGTATCATCATTATCACCAGGTTCAGTATTTGATATTAATTGTACATTTCCAATTACACTAGGAGTGATTATATTTTTCCTGAACTCGAAATCATCATTTTTAAGAGGCAAGGTATTCCTAGGGCTTTCATCGATTATACTGGAAGCGTGAATTCCCATATATTCATTCAATCCATCGTTGATTGAAGATTCAATCATCGTATAGATCGTTCTGTAGTTAATTTTATGGGAGGATGCGGGAGATGCAATGTCCGAATCTCCTTGTCGACCAACCAATCCTACCAAATCCGATATATTTTTTAAATTATTACCTATGGACTCCCGAAACTTAATTTGATAGTTCCCAATAATGTAAAACTTAATCTCTTCCGCTAGTTCTTCGATCATCAATCCCAATCCTCGATCATTGATAATATTCGAGACATTAATTCCTCTATCGAAAACCTGTTTTTCTACCACATCCAAAAAATACGTCTTAAAATCCCGAGATGTCAATCGTTTCAATATGCGTTCTAAACTCCAGTATATTTGACCTTCTAGACGATCTAGCAAATTTTGTCTTTCCTCATTATTCAATGTTTTAGCGTAGTCGGGTATATCGTAGTCCAAAATATCACATGTTTCATTGCTCAATTGATAAGCTAACTCCCGGGTAAAAGGATCGTTTAAGAGAGTGCGTAAACCTTCGCAAAAACGGAATAAGGGAGAATTCTGACTATATTCCAAATTTTCGTCGTTACCAATATTGTTCAATTTTACGAGATGAAGCGGTACGTTATAATCGTTTATTAAGGGATCGGGAAACTCGGTGTGTTCAGGCGGCATAGAATCGTCTTCTTTAAAAAAAGCGATGCCAGTAGAAGGGCGGGAAGAAGGTGGCGATATCAGGGTAACGTTGTAATGATCCGCAACTGCCTCTAGAATGGCCTCTGTGGGAGTAACGGTTTCTAGAAACACTGATAAAATGTTTCCCAAAGGGGAGCGTCGGGTCACAATTACTTCTTCATCGTAACGGATAAAACTTTGCTGTTTTTTCTTTTCCACCTCGTTATTCAAACAAAGATATCCGTCTTGATCGTCACTCTCACTATCTACTTCGATATCAACAATTTGGTTATAAAGGTCGGGTGAAGAATTTTGAAATTCTTTAATACGATCTTTGGAGGTGGGATCATTGATATTTCCAATTTTTTCAAGTTGTAGGTTTTGATCGCTGCACATAAATCTTGAAGATATTATTTCTCGAGGGTAATTATCGTGTTTTTCGATCATTAATCGTTTTTCGTAAATATTTACAGTTTCCTTCTGCTCGCTTTCGTACTTTCCATCGTAATCTGGAGTAAACTCGCGGATATTTGATGCATATTTATCAACATCGATTGATTGCTCGTTTTTTTCAAAGCCTTTATAACTATGGATATTTTGGGTTCTTGATATTGGAGTGGATTGCAAGATTAGTCGAATGTCTGAATCTTTAGATTTTTTCGGTGAATCGAAAAATTTGGTATTTATCTGATCTATTCTTTTACTAGTCCCTATATCGTTTAAATCTTTGTCCTGAGCTTTCCCGCTGGCTTCCGTGTATGCTTGAGAATTGCTTAAATGCGTTGACCTTTCGGGGCTAAGTATTTTATCGCTAATTTTTTTATGTTTAGGCGTTTCGTATCCAGGCGGAAATTGCATAATTAAAATTTGATCTTCAAATCTAACTATTGGCTTATCCTTACTTTTCGTAAAAATATCCTCTTTAATTAATTGCGCCTCTTTTGGGTGCATCTCATTACTCGAAGTTTGCTCAGATAGTAAAACTTTGGATTGAGGTAATGGAGAAAAGAACAAAAGATTCCTCTCTAACTGCTGTAAAAAATCTACGGTCTTGTCATCTATTTCAACATTTTTAATTATTTTCGATTTCTGTCTATTAATTCCTACGCTTTCATTTTTTTCTCGTTCTACGATCTGCCAGGTTTCCTCGTCAGTGATTCCTGTTTCCAAGTTATCTATACTTTCTCGTTCGTCGCCTAAACTACCGAAAGAAGAAAAGGAGCTGATCAAAGTATTGCTTTCTCTATCGAAACCAGGCAATAGTTTGATATCCTTGAATGGCTGTGGAGATGCATATTCGGATTTGCATCCATGTGCGATGTTCATCAAATGAGTGAATCTCGTGTCATCGTCGATGGTGCTTTCGAATTTAACTTTCTCATCGTCACGTTGTTTATCAAAAGGTATTATTGGTTTTAAAGTTTCATCCAGTTGATAACTACTGTGCCTATGAGATTCCAGTTTAGGAATGATGTTTGTCGGATAAACGAGCACAGAGGAACTCATCCTTGATTCGATTTCCAAGATTTTGTCCTTGACCGACTTCTTGAGTTTTTGATCATCCTTGTGCTTAAATTCTTGTCCTGAAATAATGATGGGTGATGTAATTTCTATCGATTGTTTCTCTTTGTTTTCAAAGAAACTTTTGAATTTGTATTTGAGTCTTTGAGTCACCGTCGCAGGCTTATATATGTCATCGTGGTTATCGTCTCCTTCATTTTCTCCATCAACGTCTGATTTTATAAGGACTGATTCATCTTGTTCGGAAAGAGGAACAGAAATATTTGTCATGTTCTCATTAATATTTATCAATAATTTTATATCTTTTTTATCAATTATTTATCGTGAATTTAGGTTTAGGTACCGAATGTTTATCGTAAATATATCCCGCGATAAAGATTAAAATGCAATCATCAATATCACATCATCGTGTGGGCATAAATTATAAAAAAAATAGGTTAAATCATGTTTTATTATATATCTAATTAATGTTAAAGTTTAAGCAAATTATTATAACCTGAGGCAGCAGATGTAAAATGAGATGATCTGGGAGATGATAATTTTCGCCTACCCTCTAATAAACTATCAGATAGTGGACTTTCAGAATCTTCCTTCGGATGAGATGAGTGTAATAAGAATTTAGTTTGAATCTCATTCTCCAATTCCTTCACATCTTTGATATATTAAATATAACAATATAATTGTGTCTAAAGCTTGAGATTAACCAAACAGAATCAGGAGGGAGGAATAATGGGTGCCAATGCTTATTTCCCCCCCCCCTATTTTTTAAAAAAATTATTTGAATACCATAATATTTATGAATATACGGTTAAGGTATTTATTTATTAATAAACAAAAGAAAAAAGTAGGCTATGGGTGCATTCACAGTAGAGCGCAACAGCGACACGACAAAATACAAATATGTGTAAATACCAATGACTATTTATAGTGAGATTTTGCGACGCGACACGATATTCCCACCAAATTTGTCGCATTAAATATAGAAATCAAAATTACAAAACCTTTTGTTATTTTAAAAGCGACGCTACAATATGGCCGAAATAGAAAAATTTGGAAGTGAATTTTTGAAATGTTATTAAAATAATATTATATATATTTTAGAATATAAATAAATATTATATTATATATTTTAAATGATTTGTTATAGAATAAAGAAGCTTTAATTAATTCAATAAGGTACCATCCTTGCTTTTATGACAAAAAATGAATAGGATATAAAAATGCACAGAAAATTATTCAATATTGAAATCCATTACTGCGGAAAATAATAATGAAACAGGTAATTAAAGAGTATTTTGAAGTATTTTTCTTTTGCAGTAGAGATGACCAAATTAACATGGAAACTAAGAGAAAGAGATTGCTTTATGAAGGAGCATAAAAAATTAAAATTTAAAGAGTTGGTCAGGAGCTAATAACACTCCCATTTGACAATTGTACTATAACTTGGCTTTTCTAATTCCAACCATAGAGCTAGACAAACTTGAAAAAAAATAAATCCTGTTATATCTAATATTGATGAAGCAAATATTGTTAGAGTAATGTTTGGGCAAATGAGTGGAGATGGAAATTATCAATATAAAGATGGTAAATATACTAATTTTTGTTAAGATTTTATTATTACATAGCTGTTGAAATCCCATGCATAGAGACTAGTCAAAGTGAATCCACAATTTTAAGAAATGATTGTAATTATATTTTATATATATAATATTATATATATTTAACATCATCATCACCTAGTATAAGATCATATTTATCTTGCAAAAAATTAATTAAAAAGAGGGATATTGATCAAGGTAATTTGCATTTGTAAATATTTATAATTTTAAACTAGATTTATTTGAGCAAGTTCTTGAAATAGAAAAATAAAAGAAACAAGACATTTGCAAAAAGATCATAGAGGTGAAAGGAAAAATTAATTAAAATCATTTTTGATATATTATTCGATTATGAAACTGATGAAGATTAATAAAAAATATTATATTGCATTGTTATTATTTTATGGGAGGGCTTTTATATTATTTTAATCAAAATTTTATCTTAGATTGTTTTTATTTAAGACACATAAAATAAATAACACAACAATTATACTTTATTTTTATAATATAATTACAAATCAATTATATAACTTGATTTTATTAGATTATAAAGTTATAATTGCCATGATAATTTATTTCAATAAAAATATTCAAAAAAGTAACTCTAATAAAAACCTTTGAGGGGTTTTTTATAGATTGAGGATTCCATAAATAATCTCTATTTTGTTTAGGATCTTGAGTATCCTTGGGATGGAGATCTATGTTTTTTCTATCAATCACCAAGTTGTGTAACAGTGCACAAGTTAAGTAACGATATAATAGAATTAATTTTAAAGTTGTAATTGATACCATTTTTTAAAAAAAATCAAAATATGTTTGTCGCAACTACTATGAATGCTATGTCGCTTAGGACACATACGCGGCTCTGTCGATTATTGTCGTGTCGCTCTCTACTATGAATTTTTTTATTTACAATTATGATTAATTATTAAAAAGATTTATAATATTATCAAATTTGATTTTAAAAAATCTATATTAATTTTTTAGGCCCAATATCGAACTGCAAAAATAGATTTCGGCCATAGGTTCGATCAGAACAAAATAAATAAAGATATTGTGAAGAATTTTAGTATATTAATTTGGTTATATCCCAAGATACATACTCTATATAAATGTTTAGCATCAAGTATATATTTATTTTGGTCATATTTTTTCTTATTTCACCAAAATATAAAATATATTTTTTTTCTTGTTTGGCCAAAATGTATACTGTGAAAAAAAATTATTTTAGATAAAACTACTAGTAATTGAGCAAAAATTATAAATTATCATGTTTAACTAATATATATATTTGGAATCATCATTAAATTTACAAATATAGTATATATTTGCTAAATAAGAAAAAAAAAATATTTTTTTTGGCCAAATAAGAAAGTACAGTATATATTTTGGTGCAAGATTAATTTTTCATTGAAAACTAAAAAAATATGAAATTTTATTTTTTTAAAAAAAGATTTGTGATTATGAAAACAAAATAATTTAAATTTCCAGTCGAAATTAGATTTCTAAAATAACCTTTATCCGAGTCCTGCCTGAATGAAAATTTTAAATCAATTTCCGGCCTAATTGAATTAGGTCAGATGGACCCTTATAGGGCTCAAATTTATTTTTATCTTACCATGAGGAGAAGTTATTGTATGAAGATCATTATGTTCTGTCTTTGGACTAGATTGCGGAGTTTTGGGATCTACTAATTAGGTAAAATAATATATTTAATATCGTGATAGCTAAATAAATGGTATTTAATATATTTTTTTAAAAAGATAGCTAAATAAATGGTATTTAATATATTTTTTTAAAAAGATAGCTAAATAAATGGTATTTAATATATTTTTTTAAAAAGAGACCTGCCTATTTATAGGCCTGGTTTGTAAGAAAACATTTTCCAGTCAGACCAGGGTTTCAAAAAAAATTAAAAAGGTTAAGATTCGACCCGTCCTGCAAGTCTCTATAAAAAACATCTGGTATAAATATTTACCATTCGATTCAATAGTAACTTCATTTGTAGATACTTGTGGTACGACATTTCTATTTTGACTTTTAATAAGAGATTCCGTTTGAGCAGTTTTGCCTGAACAGGTAAAAAAAAATATGTCGGAATTTAAATAATTCGTCAGCTATATACAAGGAATAAGTAATATGCAATGCAACGATAATAAAGGTTAAAATATGTAATCAGGTAAACTATTAAAAAATCAATAGAATGGTGTTCAATAAATGAGGATAAAAAAAATGGAATATAGTAAGGAAAGATAACAATATATAAGAAATAATAAATTGGACTTCTAGAGGGTATAAAATTTGGAAACAATTGAGTAAAATTAAACCTTCATTATAAGGCATATCAGTAGACCGATTAATTAATCCGTTGAAAGACGATAAAGGAGAATCAGTGTCAATCAAAACCTGGCCTAACATTTTAATTTTTTCATCTTCCGATAAACGGATTAAGCCGGGAGGTTTAGGTATTTTAGACGGAAGCCTAACTGAATGAATGGCATAGCTTTCGTTATCAGGAGGTGGGGCTTGAGACGTAACCTGCCCGAATTGATGAGACGCTGAATAGTCTTTTGGTATTTCGGCCGACAGCAGTGTGATTTTATTGGCAGCTATTTTATCATCTCGATTCATCACATCTTCGTTGGCAGAAGTTACTGGTTTGTTTTTATTTACATGTTGATTTTTGTCCGCGAATTTATTTGCCTCCTTAATTGAAGTGATGACTGGGTTTGAGGATCTTTTTAGACTCGTTTTATGTGCATTATTATACTCGGATTTATCTCTAGAAGAAGGTAAAAATTTTAAATCATCTTTTAATGAATACTTCAATGGATTAAGTTTAGGTTCCTGATCCGTTACATCGTAATCAGTATTATTTTCGCTGAACAAAGTTTTTTTGGGTTGGTTCAATTTAGCGAATCCATGCAGGGTATTGTGGATGGAATTTCTTGCTAGGGAAATTATATCACTATGAGATTCTTTATATGTACTCAGACCTGGTAAAGGTGTGGTATCCAATAATTTGCTACCCTGCATCGTTGCGACGTTTTGAGGGGATTGAGGTTGTTTTGGAGATAGTTTAAATTTATCTTCTAGTTCATCAAAAGATGATGCCAGAGTGTGAATTGTTTTGTCGAACGTCGATGAAACTTTGCCTAAAAGTCCTGATTTGCTATTAGAATTTAAATGATTATTTACATCGACGGTTGGATTTTTTATTTCACTTCCCATTTCCTCAACTGAATGTTTGATGGATTCAGCTGCTTTATCTAATGATGTTGATGTTTTTTCGATTAAAGCGCTAACATTTCCTGGAACATTTTGCTTAAGATTGGGATCTAAAGACACATTATTCTTCAAATTTTCAAAGGATGATTTAAGTGAATCAACATCTTTATTTAATAAATGATTATCGTTGATTGGTGTAGGTAAATGTTTGGACAAATTCTCATTTTCAGGTAGATTATGATCATCGATTTTATATCTAATGTCATCAAATAAAGATTTATTATTGTGAGAAATTTTATCAGATGTATTAGGTGTATTTAAATGGAGATCAATATCGGAGGATATTCCATTAGGCTTGCTTTTTCCCTCAACCGGACTTTTCAAATTATCCTCTATATTTTCAAATGATTTAATTGAGTGGGAAGTATTATTCAATGTTGCTGATACTTTATCAACAATATAGGGTGAATCAAAATGACCTGAAAATATTTCATTGTCACGTTGCTTCACATCTTCAAATTGACTTTTTAACTTGTCCTTTATATTGTCAATAGGAGATGTAATAACATGGGCAGCTTTATTTATAGTTGCGGACGCTTTATCAATTATACCTCCTTTTCCCTCAAAAGGATTTTTTAATTTATCTTCTGTATTGTCAATAGATTTAATTGCATGGACATCTTTATCTATAGTTGCGGACGCCTTATCAATTATATCACCTCTTCCCTCAAAAGGACATTTTAATTTATCTACTGTATTGTCAATAGGTGATTTAATTGAATGAAGAGCTTTATCTATAGTTACAGATGTTTTATCAATTACATCTGGCTTATGCGATGCAAGGTTAACATCAGGAGTTAAATTAGGATCAGTGCCATGCTCTCTATTTAAAGTTGGCTCAACGTGAGATTTCAACTTGTTTTCAAGTTCACCGATGGACGCTTCAATAGAATTGGTGGTTTTATTGATAGCAAGAGATGTCTTATCAATGATATCATTGCCATCGTGACCAATACTATCGGTTTCAGGAAAAGGCTTGTAATATTGCCCTTTTAATTTATCGCCTAAACCTTCAAATTGTGATTTCAAGTCATGAGCCGATTTTTCCAAAGCATTAGAAGCTTTACCAGCTAACCCCAAATGTTCTTCTCTTTGATGAATTTTAATCTTAAGCGCATCGCCTATTTTGTCACCGGTATCTTTTAAAGTTTCTCTTTCAGCTTTATGAGCGGCAGTGTGCAATAGAGCCCCAACACCGGCAGCCGTTCCTACGTTAGGTTTAACAGTTAATTTGTCCCCGATATCAGTTATGGACGTACGAATCGAGTGTCCAACTTTTTCGAAAGAATTTTCGACTTTGTCTAAAAGGTTGGCACCCTTATTTTTGGTGTGGTGGGAGGCGTGATGATCACCTTCTTTGTTTCCGTGATCGCCAATGGAAGTTATAAACTTGGTTATAGATTTTCGAGCATTCTTAATGATACCCGATGATAAGGAATGTTTTCTTTCCCCTAGGCTTAGATACCCAATTTCCCTAGCTGCTTTCATCTCTGCATCTTTTATAATGTCCGAGCTAATAAATTTGCCGGCGGCCAGAGCTGCTATAGCTTCATCATCAAATTTGATGCGTTCCTGGGTGCCTAGGGAAGCTAGATATTCTTCGCTCAACTCTTCCTTCTTATGATCGCTGGTTAAGATATCATCCTCTTCTTTCTTGTGTCTATGACCGATTAAGATACCCTGCAAAGATTTACGGGTGGATTTTAAAAAACCAGAAGATTTTTTGTCGTTTTTAATCGTCGGGGAAATAAGTTTGTTGCTGGTGGATCTAACATGACTGTTTTCATCTATATCGTCAGCACTTTCTAAAGATGAATCGCCGTGTAGAGAAACGTTCGAGTCTGGTGACATTATCGTAAACAAATTGCGATTGGAAATATAATATAAAAAAGATTAAAGAATTCTAATTTTTTTTTTGTAATGGGCACGAATAATAATGTAAAACTAAGTATAAAGCAAAATCAGGCAAAAGGATAGATTTTAATAAAGTAAAATATAGGAAGTCAAAATATAAAATGAAAATATTGCAGCGTAGTCATGTTTAAAAGTAGATAAGCAATATGTTACTTGTTTTTTAGTATGGCACTTCATGAAAATTAAACGAGGAGAAATATTTTAAAATTGTAATAAAAAATAGGATGGCTAAAAAAAATATACCCATCATGAATTAAAAATGATAACTCCGCGTTTTAGGAAAGTTTAAATATACAATAAGGCATGACATTATAGAATTCATGATAACTCAAATTCAAATAATTAGTAATAAGAGGCGTAACAGAAGCTGCCGATCGAGCAAGATTGATGAAGGGGAGTGAAGCGTAAATAGGCCCTCTAGTGAGTAAGGGGGCCCCAAATTTTTCCGCGGAGGCTCCCCGAGTTTAGTGTTACGCCTTTTGATAACTTTGTTAATTTGATCAATAATTAATTAAGATAAAATTGAATGCATTCAAATTTATCACAAAAACAAAACAAAAAGTAATATAGTATTAAAGTGTCCTAACCTGATAAAGGTTTTATAGGTTGAAAATGAGGGCCGGAATCGGCAGTGTCAGATGCAAACTTTTTAAGAGTTTCAATTTTTTGTCCTTCGGATAATTTTTCTTGGTTGTTGATTCTATCAGGCAAATTTCTTGGTGCTTGGGTTGGTATTATTTCAGGACTACTAATATTATCTTATTATAATTTAACATTATAAATAACTATTCATGTACATAAAACTAAAATTTAAATACATTTCATATCAACAGAAGAAATAGATAGGCACGTGTAAATGTAGATAATCTAAATAACCTTCATAACTTATTCAGAATAATTGGAAATTTATATATATATATGTATCATAAAAATAAGGATATTATACCTTGGTTAAGTGATATATCTTCCGATTGATTTTGAGGTGAAATATGTTTATCCTAAAGCAAGATTTTTTTTTTCAAAATATATTAATAATTTCAATAGTTGATAAACTTTTTGGTTATGAATGTCAAGCAAATGTGAATCTTGTTTCGCGTCATATTTCCAATCACCTAAATCTTCGGGATCTAGTTATTTATTTATGTATGTATATATATATAAGAACTAAGAAAAATTCACAATTCATAATATAATTTTTAGGCTTAGTTAACATATGATTTAAAATAATTTAAGCATTATCAAATTTCCTTAATAGCGCAATGATATTAAAATTAAGTATTAGATAAAATATAGAAAACAAAATACATATATAATATATGTTATGATGTACGTTTTTTTGTGTCTACGGATTTGATAGGAGAGGAATGATTCAATTTTATACCATTACCATGTTTTTGAGATTCTAGTTTTGATAGCCAAGGATTATAGGTAAGAATGTCATTCCTATTTATACGTTTCAATGCCAATTCCATTTCCTTGACTAATTTTTTTTTAAATTATCAGACTCAATTAATCATAATCGTAAGAATTAGAGGATGCTTGTCCGGTCGAAGCAAAGGACTTAAAAATATTTTCCGAAACCCGGGTTGGTCATAAAATGACATAATCTAAGAACCAGAGGTCAGACATGATTAGTAAAAGCTATGTGATTTATTAAATAAAAACCGTTTAATATAAAAAAATACTACTTGGCTTGACATGATCCGAACCTTGGGAATGCATACGTTTCCAAACTAAGAACATAGCTTTAGCCTGATGTCCTACATCATCTGGAAATTCTTTCTTGATTTCCTGAATATCTTCACTTGGAAAATTCAATTCACGAGCTAAGTTTATCCAATCGCCTTGTAACGACTGAGAAACATTATCCGCCATTAAATCGGGGCTAAATACAGTTTCTCGCTCTAGATATTATATATTATTATTTCAGCATCTAATTAGTGGCAATAAATTCATTGTTGATATTGACATTTATAAATATGGTTCGGTCCAGAAGCGAGAATCTTTTGGTGCAACAATTCATAAATTCGATCTTATTAATAAAACCAAAATTTGAAGGAAAAAAAACAACATTTTTAAAACAAGTTATAAAATTTTATTTGCCGAGTTCTCTACCTAATTGTATTTGGATGTAATTGGTAAATCTAAAATTTCCATCATTTATTTTTCGCACTTGAAAAAGAAGATAGATGATATAATAATAAGGGAAATTAACTTTAGAAGTATATTATAAGGAAAGCTTGGATCTAGAATCAAATAAAATATATGTATCTTTTTTTAAATTAAGCAACTCAAGTCTCGGAAGCAGAGTTTGAAAAAAGATATTTTGGGCACAAAATTTTGATTAAAAAATCTTTCATCAAAAAATGAATGTTATTTTTTAAAAAAAATTTGTGATTTCAATCATGAAAATTTTTTTATGTTATAAAAATCACAAAAGATTTACTTATTAAAAATTTTCTTCTTTTATTTTGAAGAGTATACATTTCAAAATCTGATCCGAAATCTTTTTTAATCGGACAGCGTTCGTGTTAAAAAAGAATATAATAAAATTTCGAAAAAAATTATATAAAATTAGGGCAGGACTCGCATTGGACAAAACGAGAATGTTTAATATTTCAGTTGCTTAAAGGACCAAAAAAATTTGAGGAAAATATATTTTTTTCTAAAAAATGACAATTTTTCTTAACCTAAATTATAATATTATCAAAGATTTGATTTTAAGGAAGTTAATTTTCATTTATTTAAACCTTTTGAGAACCCTCAAACTTTTCTTAAGAAGTAAAAAAATTTTTTTTAATTTTACAAAGCATTTATAAAAAAAAGATTTTATTTAGCATCACGTCTAAATAGAAAATGTAGCTTATAATAAATAATGAAAGCTATGTAAAAACTAAAAGAAATATAGCGTTAATAATTTGATCAAAATCGAAAAATAAAAATGGCGAAAAAACATAATAAAATACTAGCAAAAGCATATTTTAACCTGTTAATTAATTAAATACGATTGAATTTATAATATAATTTTGTAATATCAAATTAAATCATTAGGCATTTAATGGTTATAAAATAACATGCAAGTTGATGATGTCAAATTAGCTCACAAAACGTCAAAAGGCGCAATTTAATTTAAAAAAATATTGTAAATATTATTTTTTGTTACAATATAATTATAAAGGTTCTAGTTAAAATAAAACAACAACTCAAATTAGTGGGTAGAAAAAGATAGTCTCCTCCCCCAGTATTTATATTTACGTGTTATGCCATTGAATTTATCATATCATACCTATTCCAATATTTTTTAGAATCGATTTAACCCCATTTGATTTTTCCGATAAAACATCCATGCGTTCCTCCTGAATATAATTAGACAATAAATTATTTTAACTTTTTAAAATTCGTTTGCTATTAGGCAATAAAAAATAAAGTAAATGGCAACAGAAAGTAGAACGAATCCAATTTCAAAAAATTGGCAATCATAATTTTAATAAATAAAAAAATAACGTATCAAAAATTTGGGGTATTTTTTTCATTCATTAGTTTAAAATTATAGGTTAAATAAAGTTGTTTCTCGCCAAGTTTAAAAAACAATCATATTTTATAAATCCTTGAATATAAAATTCTTAATTAAGTGGTAAAAGTGTATAATATTATTAAATTAATTATTAAAATATATAAAATTGTTTCATTTGTAGATATAGCAAAAAAAAGAAAAAAATATTTAACCCAAAAATCAATAACACAGATGTTTAAAATAAATATTATCGATTTCAATTGTAGTCCTATTAGTATGGATTTTTAATTTAAATATATTTAAAATTTATTTTTATCGATATTCGTTGTTTTCGTTTTAAAGAACAATTAAACACGATCCAAAAAGTTGATGAGGAAAATGAAATAATAGGGTCATAAATTTAGATCAATTAACCATCATAAATTTTTTAAAATTTTATTTAAAATATTTTAAAAAAATATGAGATACATAGATAGTTTCATTTGCCAATATCATTCTGTTATAAACGCACACCCGGAATCTGACTTTTTTTTCAGGCCTGGCTCGATTTGAGAAAAAAATTGCTCGAGCGATCCAATCCAAGTATTTTTCAAGAAGTCTGATTGATATTAGGATCAAATTTTTCTCAAGAAAAATTTAAAAAAAACAAGATCGGTCCACCAACAAGTAGCTCGGTTAATGAAATAAGTCTGAATAAAGCGCAGACAAATTATCGTCATTGGGAGGAAGAGGATTATGATTTTTATTAATTTCAGACCACTTTGTAATTTTATATTTAAATATTCATCAATTCAAACACCAACTCATTTATTCCAAAAATTTTATTCAGAATAATGGAATTAATATTGAATCGAGGTAAGTAATTTTACATATTTTAAATTTATTAAAACAAAAATAATGGTATTTTTTTTTTCATGTTAAAGTCAACTTTAAAAAATATCATAACGACAATGACGCCTTTTTCTAAATGCAACGCATACTAAAGTAACGTTAAAAGCATTGATCATAATAATGCGGAATTTTATAAGCCCTAATGTCGTTAAAAAAGCGTCAAAATTTGTGTTAAAATCATAAATTCATTTGAGCGCAAATAAAATATGTCCCTATTTCAGTAATTAACCGTCCTGAGCAATTCTAAAATCAAGAAAATTGGCTCTATAACCTACGCATAATTAGAATTTGAGATAAAAATTTTAAATTCTTCTCATATTTACATTCATTTTCTTTTGTTAATGTTTCTGTAATATTTGTTCCATTCCTATCACTTCAACCACACTTGTCACCTTCGGCAAACTTGCCTTAGCATTCTTCAAAAATTTAAGATCACAAATCAGTAAACTATCAGAAGAACCTCAAGAGGAGTTTTTTCTTCGACAAAGGCTGTCCATAGCAATCCTTAAAGAATATTACATTAACTTCAATAGTAGTCTACTAGTCAAATAGCTATCCTAGACCCTTTCTGCTTTTATTTTTTTCCTCGCTCAATACCATCCCCGGTCTTCATTGTTATTTTTTAAATCTTTTGCACATATTCCTTTTGCCGCATTTTAATATAGATTATAATTATACGCTCATAATTAGATTAATGTATGGCTTTTTATGTATGTATATATAATACAGTGTTGTGATGATTTAATGTAACATAATGAGGATTTAATTTAAACACATGCATATATAATTAAATTATTTCTTTTGTTGTACATTTGTAAAGATCATAATTATATATGCATGTGTTTAAATTAAATCGTTAATATGTTACATTAAATCATCACAACACTGTATATAAAAAATGATTTATTAATACATAAATCCAGTGACGTCGCTAGGGGGGGCGCGCAGGGGCTCGAGGCCCCTGAAAAATTTGAATAGCCCCCTGAGCAAAAAAAAAATTTTTTTAATGGCTCCTTAATATCCCCTTGAACTAAAAATAAATTTTTTGGATTGCCCACTGAATGATTTCTTTTATAATTCCATTAAGTAATATATAGATATAATTTTATTATTTAGAAATTAATAAGACTATTTAAATTTTTATTAAATGAATATTATTTAAATTATTAGATTAGATTAATACATATAAATTATATTTTCACTATGTCAGCTTGCAATCAAATTCTGTATTAAAAATATAATATCAATAACTCACTAAATATTAATTTAGCTTTAACAGTTGAAGTTTAATTGACTTTTATTATTTAAATTATTATTTAACCCTAATTAAATAAATATAATCATATATTATTTGAAAATTAACAAATTTAATATTGTAATTAGCCGAGTTCAAAATGACTAATCAACTGTATATTTATTTATCATACCTTAAAAATATTTTCAAGGTCCAAATAAGTAATATTTATTTTTAAATTTTATTATCATACCTTAAAAATATTTTCAAGGCCCAAATAAGTAATATTTATTTTTAAATTTTATTATCATACCTTAAAAATATTTTCAAGGTCCAAATAAGTATAAGAGATTTCTTTATAAGTAAGTAGACATATAGTTTATAATCCTCTACTATATACAGTAGTTTATAAAATATTAGATTCAATGCCACTTTTATAGACGTATTTAACAGTTATATAATATATTACAGTTAATATTAATAAATTTTACTAATAAATGGTTTTGATAATAAATATAATAACAAATTGCATTCAAGTATTTAACGCCATCTATTTAGTTATAAATAATTTTTAATTAAACATTTCATTATTCATCTTGCAATAAATGTAATAAATTTGATATCTTTTTTTCACGTGTTTTTAGGAAAGCTATTTTTTTTCTTTTTCGAAAAACAGTTTTGAGTTAAATTTTTAATACAAGTATATTTTTGATATTATTACAAACTACTAATATTTTAAGATATAAAATACCAGTGGTGCGACAATATTAGTTAGTGATGTTAAAAGTTACTTTTGAAACATAACTAGTTACAGTTACTAGTTACATTGGCAAAAACATAACTAGTTACAGTTACTAGTTACATTTTTACAAAAGTAACTTGTTATTAGTTACAGTTATTTTCAAAAGTAACTAGTTACTTACCTTATACATCATTCATATGCGCATTATTTATTTATTGAATGCTGAATATAAAAAAAATTAGGATAAACAAAGTATAATCAGTTATTTAAAATAATATACAATTTATTTATATAAAAAATATCGCAAAATTGAATACATCGAATATAAAAATATATATTTGCATTGAAAAAAAAACATTTATTTTTCATAAAAATTAGAATCTAATAAATGTTTATTTGCTTTTAACAACAAATTAATTTCAAAGTTATTATCTGGGAGACCTGCTCGTTTATCTCCAAAAATGAGCTTACCTAGACTGAACAAGCGCTCTACGGGAGCACTTGATGTTAGAATAACATTATATTTAATAAAGAGTAATTTTAACTTTGGAAAATCGTTATATAAAGAAATAGTGTTGTTATTAGATTTGATAAAGTTTTCTATAAGTTCATTATCCAGAATATTTTGGCGCTTTAGGTCAAAAAATATAACTACATCAAGTGATGTTGGTTTTGAGCATGATTCATTCGTCTGGGATTCACTTTGAGGTATTAAGGTATTTATTAAATTTAAAATTTCCTCCTTTTTTGCTTTATTCTTTTCTTGCCTAATCCAAGGCCAGTCAGTTTTAAATAAAGGGTGAAGAATTGCAGCAATGATGTTGTCATTATCATAAAGATTATTAAACCTATAACATGATATTTTTGTTAGACTTGGTTCTTGTAAGTAATGATTAATAATTTAATATTAAATTCTAAAATAATCTGTCTTTGTTTTTCCTTATACTAAATTTAAATTTTTTTTTATTACGTATATGAAGTTCCAATGCTTGTTACTTGATGGAAAAAAATATATTGTGCTACATTTGTAAATAAATATAATATTAAAATTTATTAAATTAATTGAATTTGCTTACAAAATTATGAAGCCCAGCAACAATGTAACAATTTAAGAAAAGAAAATCAATTTGAACGGGAAATTATAACAATCAGATATTTTCACAAATAATTTAAATTAATAAATTTAATTTAAAAAATAAATTTAATTTAAAATTAATTTTTCACAATTATTTGAATATATATTTAAAAGTAACTAGTTACTTTTGGCAGTTACATTTCAAAAATTATAACTAGTTACAGTTACTAGTTACAATTTTAAAAATATAACTAGTTACCTTAACATCACTAGACAATATATAAAATCTTAATTGTTTCATCATATCATTCTGGTCCTTATTTTATAGTTCCAAAATGTTTCATTATATGGCATCCTTGCCGTGAAAATAACTCAAGGCTTCAATATATTTGAACAATTATTTCTTCCAAAGATTTTTAGTGTTTTTATTTTATCAATTTATCAAACATAATAAATTCGGATATTAGTTTACATCGTAAGTGTCATGGCTATTATTGCTAATTAATCAGCATCTATTATGTGTTGCCATGTAATTTAAGATTATTACTATAACGACTGAGAGCATATAATTGCATATTTTAGATAAACAATAATGGTCAACTGTGTAGTCGTTTATATATCATTTAAAATGGAAGATAATCTTTTAGAAATTTAATATCTCACAATAATTTTCTCGATTACTTATCTAGCTTATTGGTCGTTTATACTCTCTCCTACAAAAATTGTTGATTTGGTTTAGGCCTATAAATTTTTCCTTATTAGTCCATTCTATAAAACATTGTCTAAAATGGTTACAGAGAATTATATTAGTTTGTTGATAACCTTTTGTCAATGTAAGTTGCTAAGAATTATATTATTGTATTATGTGATTTTTTATATGCCAGTTTATTTTGTATGCAT